CAGCTAGTCTGATATGTATTTCATTTACAGTACATCTTTTACAAAGCATGTCACTAAATTAACAGTATGAAGTACATAAATAAAAATATTGAGGGTTGCTTACGTAAAAGTAAAAGTTTTTATGACCATCATCCTTTTTTTCTGGCTGGTTTGAAGATTACTTGATGATAAGTTGATAAGAGATGGATAAGTTTTGCTGAGTTCTGGTAGGCCAAAGTATGCAAGTGTAAGTCATTGATTTTAAGTCAGGTTGGATATGTATTTTGGATGATTGTGGATGGCTTTTGAAAAAATTCCAAAGGAAGCCCATGATGTAGTTTAGCTACTGTATAAGATATTTGATATGTCACGTTTTCTCTCAGGTTGGGAAAGATTAAGGAGTGGGTTGATAAGAATGACCCTGGTGCACTCATCATTCCATTTAGTGCTGGCTTTGAACTCAAGTATTTCTTGATGGAGGAAGATGAAAAGAAGACATTTTTAGAAGAAAATCACACAACAACGTATGTGCTTTTACAGTGGTGTAACGCCTATGCACTCTTGCACGGCGGTCTGCAGGGCCCCTGCCCCTAGTGGCTCCTACCCAGGTATATGGTCCTCAATCTAGCACCCTGACCCAATGAAGGGCTTGTTGAGCATACAGTAATGTGTCTCGGACTTCAACTGTAGGACATAACATATATTATATCCAGTGGTGGATTAAAGGGGGCCCAGCTGGCCATCTCCAGTCTCGGAAAGCCACAGGACCCCCGGCCCCAGTGTTGCACCACTGTATATTTTTGTTATATTTCATATAATTTGAAGATATTTTTCACAAAACTTCATTGTGCCTACTTTTGCCTCTGTCCTCAGTCTAGACTTTTACCTAGTTGCATCAAACATACACACTATTCAAAATAAAGTATTGTTTATTAATATGACTGGTGTGTTCCCTATTGGCCTGCAAACATTTGCAATGTGCCTAAATATATAAATCTGATCAATCAGTCAATCAACCAATCAATGTATGCTTTCCCTTTATTCATAATAATTGTCTTGCATTGTTTTCTGTTCAGTAATCTTAGCAAGATCATTGTCAATGGTTTTAAAGCATTGCAGTTGGAGTACTTCTTTACCACTGGTGCAGATGAAGTTAAAGCTTGGCCAGTACAGGTAAAATAAACTCAATCAAAATACATGTGAACATAAACATAATTTCATTTTACTGTATAACCTATCATAGAATCAAGGAGGTGGGGTTTAAGTCCCCTCAAAAGCACATGATCAGCCCATCTTTGGTGGGGTCCCAACAGAAAATATAAAAATCATTTAAAAAAATTCCAAAATGCTGTCCATTAATAAAATTCTTTCATATTTAAATTTAAAATCTTGTCAATAACCATTTAAGTATTAATATATGTAGATGCAACTGCTATATAGCTGTCAAGATCTGTCAGTCAATCCATCAATGTCCTTATGCTCTTAACCATTTAGTTGATGCTTAAAGTGGAATTAATATCAAACTTATTTACAGTGAGAAGCTAATTAGTTGCCAAAGGGACACAATCTTCATTTTCCCTCTTCTACAAGAATAATATGAATACATCCCTAGCTTTTGGAATACTGAATTTGCTCTGTGATTTGTAATTATAAAGTAGCTTTATTTAAAATTTGTTTGTTTAATTAATTTTGTGCTGTTTTATTTTCTATGAAGATGGTTGCTCTATTTTGCAGTTTTGTTTTCTTGTTAGGAATGAGAATGTTCAGTAACATTTAATTAAGTCGAAAGGTCCACTGATTAATCTCAGATAAGAAAGTATAATACATACTCCAAGTATTGAAATACACGTCATAGTGTTGGGATTCAATATTTCGACATTAATTATGTCATCATCAGGAATGATTTCCTGATGATGACATAATTAATGTCGAAATATTGAATACCAACACGATGGCATGTATTTCAATACTTGGAGTATGTATTATACTTTCTTATTTAATTAAGTCACACATAAATTAAATATAATAAAAATCTTTCTAATGACGATCTTTAATCGCCACCTTAAATCATTCTTATTTGACAATCTAATTTTCCTCCACTCTCCTGTTTTTCTTCTCACTTTCCTTTACTTTAGCACTATCTTTTCCATTCCAACCATTTATTCTGTTTTTTTTCCTTTTTTGTTGTCCTGGAAAGCACATAGAAACAAATGTTGTATGAGCTGTACAAGTGCACAACCATTAACAACCATTAATTCAAAGTTTATTTCATTTTTATTAGAAAGGGACCAAGGCACCCCAAGCTGCTGGAAAAATTCACACAGACTTTGAGAAAGGTTTCATTATGGCAGAAGTTATGAAATTCGATGATTTCAAGGAACTAGGGAGTGAGAATGCAGTTAAGGTATATTATGAATATATTTTATCTTTTTTCACATTTTTTTTTTAACCTAGTAGTAAAATATTAACATATAATAATGTATTTTATAACTTTCATTGCTGGAAATACTGTATAACATGTAAAGTTTAAACTCTATAAGAAAAGTTGCTTGAGGTTTTATGGATGAAGCTTGATTTAGTTATGATGTGTAAAATGTTATGTATGTATTGATACCCTATTCATTTCTGGCGTCTGTCAACCCATCTGATCCCACCCATGATGGCCATCCACACCAATATTAAAATCTAAATCAATAGTTTGAACATTTGCTAAAATTCTGGTTGTATTAATAAGAAGTAGCTTTCCCTTGTTAAATATATCTGCTTTGTTTACACTACGTTAATTGTCCATCCAGCAAAGTTGACCATTTGAGAAACTCAATACTCATTTTTATTTTATAGTTTCCAATATCATAATAGCATTGCAGAAATTATGTTCATGTTTTTTAAATCACAACACCAATTTAAATTAATTCCAGAGTGCTGGGAAATACAGACAGCAAGGCCGTAACTACATCGTAGAAGATGGAGATATTATTCTATTCAAGTTTAACGCTGGGGCAGGTCTATCGGACAAGAAGAAAAAATAGAAAAGAAAGCGTCATAAACTGTTTTTGATATATTGAATAAATCTTGCATATTCATCTTAATTTTATTTCTGATATAGATACAATAGCAGTAGCACATATGAATTTTGGGTTATACCATTCCTTGACCATATGAAATCAATTTGAATGTCTATCAAGAATACAGGGAGTAATACTGCTCAAGCCTTCACTATCCATCCCTGAGCACTTTCCTAATCAAATTCTTAGTTAAAAAATTGTGGAAGAAGCACTAAAAAGAGATGAAACTCAGAATTATATCAGTATGTATTAAGCTTCCACGGTGTTTGTCCCTCTAGGTGAGTTTGAAGAGGGAAGAAAAGTCTAATGTGTTACCTTTAATATTTACTGTAGATGAAGCATAAGCTCTCCACACCCAAACACCTAACAGGATACGCAAGTGTCGGGTCCAGGAATTTTAAATATAGGGGACCAGAAAGGGACTTCCACAGATGGAGGATGTATACTACCTCAGCCCCAACATGGTTGGGACTGAGGTAAGAAAATTTATGATTATGGCACCATTATATGGCTGAAAATGGCACTCTTAGACTCAAAATTTGAGTAGAATTTTCTTTTTTTCTTAAATTTGTTTAAAATTTTGAACAATTTAGGGGGGCCTGGGCGGGCCCGTGGCCGGCCGGCTGGGCCTCCCTTGAATCTGCCACTATACACTGCTACTCCTGTAACAGAAACAGAATAATGATAATATAAAGCAGCGATTAAAGCCAATTGGCCTTTTCTTAGAAACCCTGTGAAGGCACTCAGTGGCTGATACCAGGCAACAGTCATAAAGGACTTAGAGTACCTGAAGAACTATCTATTTTATCATTTACTATTGTTTTAACTCATAAAATAAATTTTTTTGACATACCATTATTGGTTTATGATTGCAGAAGCTTTTAATTGTGTATCAGAGAATGTGATCGAGAGAGTGGTCTGCTACAGGCAAGTGTAACACATACAAATGACAGTTCATTAACAAATTAGCAAGCTTTTGATTTTTTGACAGTCAAAATGAGAAAGAAAAATGTGCAATTTAAATTTTCTCTTGAAGAGTATACTGTTAACACATGTACAGTAAGTATTCTATCATTCTAGACACTTGAAAGATATTGGATAAAAATAGGAAACGGTAGATTGAAAACAGAAAATTAAGTACTGTAAAGAAACTCTGTACAGAGGTAACAAATTTTTATTTCACATGGTTATATAGTGGGGGTAGGGGAATGAATTAAAGCTTGTAGCCCTCCTTGGTGCCAGTTAGCTTTGAAGGGTGATAGTGGGATAAAAGAAACTGAAGAGTAGGCAACTGTATTCATCTTTGGAATATGAACTCAAAGGGTGCAGATCATTGGGGATGGGGGGAACATGTCCCTCCACATTTTTAAGAGGGCTAGTCCCCTCACGTTTTGTCCGCAATGTAATTTCGTAAGTCAAGAAGATGCCTGAAAATTGTTGAAATGAACTACATAAATGATCCAGGTTTTAACGAAAAAGAGCGCTGTACAGCCATAGTACATCTTATTTTATTAGCAAGATACTGGTATCTCTGCCCACAAACATCTGAAATACACGACTTGTGTGCGCGTGCCTTATTTATTATAATTTGAGAAGTATGAGAAAAAGCGTGTAATGATAAGATTGGTTTTCAGGCTCATGAAGTAGGTAAAGTAAAGTAAATACACGGTACATCAAAGACTATTAAGTTTTATTTTCTATGGTGCATCATAGCGATTAATTAAATTCATTATGATGAATTACTAAATAAAAGTGCCATTTCCGGCAACCTAGAGGTGCAATTTCAGGGGCAGATTCAGGGGCCCCCCCCCCCTTCTCTTGGGAAGTAAAAGGGAAAAAAAAAGAAGAAAGCAAACGAAAAAATGTTATCGCCCAAAATGCCTCTGATGTTATTTTTGGGCGTGTAGAAAACAGAAGTTTCGCAGGGGAATGCCCCGGACCACCTAACTTAGTGTTATTTCGTTCAGCATCATTTTCAGCTCCCTTTTGGACATTTTAGGATCCGCTCCTGAATTTCCCCAAATTTGGAGGGGCTGATGTGGATGTGGACTCGTGGCCGGCTTTGAAGTAGGTAAAGTAAAGTAGTGTAAAGTAAAAAAATAAGGGCCGAAAGTGGGGCTCATCGAGGTAACACTATCCTAGGGGTTTGTGGGGCATTCCCTCGCGAAATTTTTGTGTTCTACAGGGGCGGATCCAGAAATGTCCAAAAGGGGGGGGGGGCCGAAAGTTGGGCCGATTGAGACAACACTGTCGTAGGGGGTCTGGGGCATGCCCCCGCGAAATTTTTGTGTTCTAGACGCCCGAACATAACATTTGAGGTATTCTGGGCTATCATTTTTTTCTTTTTCTCTCTTTTTTTTCTTTTTTTTCCTTTTTTTTACCTGCCAAAAGGGGGGGGGCCGGCCCCCCTCCCCTACATCCGCCCCTGTTCTAGACGCCCGAAAATAACCTCTGAGGCGTTTTCGGCGTTTTCTTTTTCTCTTTCTTTCTATTTTTTACATTTTCTGACCTTCCAAAAGTGTGGGTGGGGGGAGGGGCCCTAATCCGCAACCTGTAGTCATTGAGACTTTCCAATCGTTTGGAACCATACCAATCATTAATGATTTATTTATAAATTAATCGAACATAGAGATTTTGCAATATAGCGTAATGCGAGCCTAGTATCTAAATAATTAACATTAAGGTTAATATTTTCAGATAAACATGCCAGATTCTTTTCAATATCGCCAGATACAAGGCCCGTAAAATTTTGTGTGTGAATAGGCCTACAATCATGTTCCTGATGTTGACATTATTAATGTCGAAATATTGAATCCTAACACGATGACTTGCATTTCAATACTTGTAGTAGGCCTATTTTGTACTTTCCAATACAATTTGGGTTTTTTCATTCTGTTTTGTTTTTGTTCCCATGTTACCGTACTCAAATAACACTAAAATGGTCACAATCAAGATTTTGAATTATTTCATCCCTAAAAGTTTGGGATCGTGTTTATATTGGTTTTCAACTGATAAAACAATTTGTTTTCGAATTTTTACCGGTACATTTGTTTCTAATGAATGATATTTATTAAAAGGTGTTTTGCTGTATCGGTATCTGATAAGTGTTTTACATAATCACGGTCATACGTAATTCTAATGATCTCAGATGTGATTCATTTTATTTAGCTTAAGTATAAAACTAATATACAAGATAATTGTTGACATTGTTCAATGGTTAATCCGATAACTAAATTACACCATCTCAGTAAATATCGAATGTTTTTTTTTTGTTTTTTGTTTTTTGTTTTTTGTTTTTTTGGGTCATAAGAAGTAAAAATGCTTATTATTTTCAGTCCAGCAAATAGATGGCTCTTCAAAGATGCCATCTGAGAACATCTAAAATTAAAATTAAAAAAAAATTGAATGATTTATTGTCAAAATAGTATTTAAAAAAATCGGAGGGACCCCTGCTCTTAACCACATCAGTGGTATACAAATCTTAGTTTACATGGTCAGTCAATTTGAACGCGTCAAGTGCCCCGAATGTAGGCCCTACTCTTGAACCACTAGTTACGCCACTGGCATGGAGGGTGTGGCCAAAACGGGGAAGCAGCCAAAATGTTTAATTAAAATCAATTTATTGCACATAATAATGATATAAAACAACAAAGAAGATAAATAGAATTCAAGGCACTGGGCCAGGACGTGACACCAAGAGAAAAACGTGAGTTTCAGGAGACCCCACGAGTCGGCCCATGTACCCCTTCTGAACGCTCGGAAAAGCAAGAATAAGGAAAAACAGTCAAAATTTGCAAATACCGTAGACAAACTTCGGACTGCTTGGATGACCCAGAGCGCCATCGTGATTAAAATAAGCCTTTGAAACCCATATTGTCATAGTTTGCGGGGGCTTTCGCAGTTTTTGAGATTTTGAGCGAAGAGAGACATCGGACCCCGTCGAGGACATCGGAACGCCCGTCGGGCAAATCCTGGTGCCCACCCACTGGGCATAACATATATGTATAATTAATAAATAATTAAAATATTGTTGTGTTGTCATAGGAATTGAATCCAGGTCCCGGAATGCAAGCATCTTAACCACAAAGCTACACTGCCACTACGAGTACGAAATAATGCAATAATGATTCTCGTAATTTAGAAGAAATAACATTCCCATAACATTATCATCCCTGGAGCAAAGAAAATTCAGAGAATGTGGCGTAAAGTTACATAAGATGAGAAGCAACATCAAAATAATATAATAAATTAACATGACCTTATAATAAGTTGCAATGTACTGATGACCAGGCCCGTATCCAGAGCAGTGGTGTGCAAAGGGGAATTTCTGTCGAACTCGGGACCCCGTCTTCTGACGCCACGACGAGGTCGTCATATCAAAAATAATAATTTGCCTACTGTAAAACCTCGAATTGAAGGGCTTCTTTTTTTTTTTTTTTTTTTGGGGAAATATTAACATGACCTTATAATAAGTTGCAATGTACTGATGACCAGGCCCGTATCCAGAGCAGTGGTGTGCAAAGGGGAATTTCTGTCGAACTCGGGACCCCGTCTTCTGACGCCACGACGAGGTCGTCATATCAAAAATAATAATTTGCCTACCGTAAAACTTCGAATTGAAGGGCTTCTTTTTTTTTTTTTTTTTTTTGCGAAATTTTGAATGGGCTTCTTTTCGAGTTGGGCTCAGTTCTTTTCGAGACTAGTTTTGCAAAGTAAAGAAGGGGGCTTCTTTTCAAAACGAATGCTGTAAATTTTGTGAATTTGTACAATTAAACAATAAATAAGGTCATTGTAACATCAACTGTATTATGGAGCGTATTTAACTGGTATTTAAATCACCTGAACATAATGTATAAATCAAGCTTGTTTTTAATTTAGGCCTAGGCCTATATTGTTTTCAGAAACACTGTACTGACTATCTCGAAAAGAAGCATAATGCTATTTTGAAAAGAGGCCCATGGGCTTCTTTTCGAGATGGACTTCTTTTCGAGGCTAATTTTGCAAACTAAAGAGGTGGCTTCATTTCCAGATGGGCTCTCGAGATTTTACGGTAGGCCTATACATAATCCAAACAACGTTATTTTTTACTGGCAATCCCTAATATTTTTATGGTTTAAAAGCACAATTTGGGCCATACTAAGCTAAACCATAAAATCTTCCCCGTGAACCCTACCTGGGTGGGGAGTGGGGGAGTTGGCGGTGCGTTTTCCACACCCACTTCTTTTATAAATTAATTAGCCTAGTTCATTTAGGAGGGGAGCGTAAAACTGATAAAGTTGATAGGGCCCTAATAGGCCGTAAATGAAATCATGATGAACAGTCCAATAGTTCTAATTATCCCTACTTTAGGCCTACATCAATTGGTGTGTACATGTTCACATGTGATAGGCCAAGTTATAAGCTCATAATCCTTTCGGAAGCGGCTGCGTTTAGCACGAACCTTTATTCCGCCCCCTTTGTCGGCACGCCCAGCCCTCTTTTCTGTGGATAGTCTGCCTTTTACCCAGTCATGCGAATCGTATACGTCTGTTTAAACACAAGAATACTGTATACAAAGTTAAGGGGAAAAACATACAAGTTGATCCCTGATAGTAATATTATATTATTTTATTACATATTAGTTGTCTATGCGATACTAGGCCTACTTTCCCGATAGTGATGTGCTCCTAGTAGTACGATACCGATACGATACTTCGATTTCTCGGCCAGTTTATCGGGCCAGGAAGACAAAGGCACATGTTATGAGTCGGTTGTTTAGTTTTTTTTTATATTCTCTGCAGGTTTTGATAATACGACGGCGTCTCTGATGTTATTTGACCAATAGGCGATGGTTTACGATCATCACGTCCGCCTCCTTGACGGCTGTGAGTAATTTGTACGTTAACAAAGTAATCAATCAAGTGAGTTCATGCAAATTACATTTCCCGTTCCTCCCGAGAAAAGGGAGGAACGGGAAATGTTTCTGTGGGGTTGTGATCAATTCATATCCATTTCCGCTCAGTTTATTTGGCTGGCTTGGTCATTTAAAGAAACAGCAAAACAGTTTTATTTACAGTTTCAATGAGCACTCAGGGAATTCGAAACTAAAGTCGGTATTTCCTTTGAAGTCGCGTGTTTGTCCCTCCCCTGTCAATCATTGCAGATCAAGGCAGACCGATACGCGAATAACAACCGAATTTCTATATTTAAATAGTGCTTTGGTCTCATCTATTTGACAGATATCTTTATATCAAATTATATACGTCCATGCTATAAATATATTTAGAGAAGCGTATGTATTTTTTTTGCATTTTAAGTTTATTGTTTCGATGAAAACACTCTTTCATTAGTTACAGTAGTGCGTAGTGATATTTGACATGACAAGATTAGTGATGCGGTTGTAAATGAGCAGATGGAGTGCGGACTGTGAAGATTATATTCATGTCGGAAACGTCGCTATCTAACGCTCAAATTGTTATCACAAATGCGAAGATTGTGCCTAAAATGGCTACAGTTGCCATTGCTAGAGCACAAAGTGATTATATTCAACCTTCCAGTACATCACAGGTAAATTTTGTTTCTTTTATTAATAGTTATAAGTAATTTTATTCTGTACATATCGTTTGTACTTCGTTGACGAAACTTCACTGTGTGTGTATACCGCTCTTTTCACACCCACTTCTTTGTTCCCGCCCCTTGTTTTTAGGATATCCAGCCTTCCCCTCTCGCGATGTTAGCAGCCACATGTAGTAAGATTGGAACTGTTGCGGAGACAGCGGGAACAACAACCCATGCCCCACAGACAACCGTGAAGATTGTAGGTCAAAATCAAGCTGGTGAATTCATAACAACAGCAACAGCAGGAAATATTGTTACTGCAGTTCCTCAAGCGTCCGTCGCTCAGCCAGTTCAGGCAGTGCCCATTCGCCTTGCGACGGCCCAGTTATCTTCCGGGACAAGCGGTGCTCAAGTTGTAGATGGTTCTCAGGCTTCGCCCGTTAAAACTGTCATAACAACGGGCTTAAATACCCAGCAAATAATTCAGCCACATGTATTGAACAATGCTAACTTACTGCAGTATAGCATAATCCCTCAATTACACTTGGATTCTGATGGAAGCCTGATTGCAACTCAAATCCCAGGAACTAACCAGGCAATTCTCAGGGCTGCAACTCCAGCTCAGACAAATTTAAATCTAGCCACTGGATTAGCTCTGCCTAGTGGACAACTAATTTCTAATGGGCAATTTGTTCAAAATATTGCAACTCCTCGTTTAGCACTAGCGCAGGGTCTGACTTTTCAATTGGCTCCAGCCTCAAATGCATCAGTTGCAAACACTGAACAAGGAGGGGGACAAGTCTACAGTATTGTTGCAGCACCTCAGCAGGTATTTCAACAGCAACAGGATGTTTCAGACTCTAATTTTACAAGCGATCAAAATATCAAACAAGATGTAAGAACTTCGTCTACAGGTTCATTCGAGTTGAAACAAGTCAGTTCACAGGCTGTAACATCGACAACCTCACAACCACAGGCCGTTCAGACAACACAGAACATAAAAACTAATAATACAGTCATTCAACAAGATACAAAAAATACGCAAGACCCTGCAACTCAGTTGCAGCAGCAGCTTCAACAGGTTGTGGCATTCCAACAAACAAATTTACAGCAAAGACCCGTGTTTACAATTCAGCAGCCACAGACCCAGGGTGCACAAATTGTGAATGTGATTCAACCCCAACAGATAACTCTACAACCCCAGCAGTTATCGGTTCAGCCCCAGCAAACTATTTCTCTTCATCCACAACAAGCAATATTACAACCACAGCAAGCTATTACAGTTCGAACACAAGCAACAACGCAGATTACGACACCATCACAACAATCACAAGTTGTTGCACAAGCCGTGGGTACCCAGGGAACTACGTTGATTCAGAGCCCTTTTATAACTGCAGTGAAGGCAATACCAAATACATTAAATTTGCAACAGGTACAACTACAAGGCTTAAATATATCTGGTACAAATGCACAGGGCCAGCCTATCTTTACAGCAGTTTCTGGAACAACAATTAGCAGCAATCCAAACGTAGCTGTGCAGAGTTACAGCATGGCAAATGTACCAACATTAACGGTGCCGACAGTGTCTACGCAGCTCCGTCAAGGAATACCAACCACCACTGCTGTTGTTGGACAAGTAACCACAGTTGGTAAGTGAATTATATTTTTTCATTTAAAAAATGTGTACATTTAAACAAAGTTATTGACATTTTTGAAGGTTTTACTTTGAATTAACAACAAAGGTAGATGTAATATTTTAATTATACAGTACAATTACCATACACAATTATAAATATTAATTCTCAAAATGTCATGGCCACACAAATCCTTTTTGCCAATAGACCCCTTTCAGCGATTACTTTGGACCTTACTGAGACGCTGGCGGCACCCTAACTAGAGGCAGAAAAGATATCCTAATACACGTCTGGGTTATATTTATTTTTGTTGTGCCAAAAAATTATGAAAGCTAAATGGATGAAACTCACATATGGCATAGTTAGATATATTAGGAATCGACAACAAAAATAATAATCCAAGAAATTATATTTTTCCTATTTTTATTCAATTAAAGTCATCTCTTTGGATGTTGCCATGTGTGAATGCGCTAGGCCAAGAAAGTGAAAGATTTTGGCTACATCGCCTCTGCCAGTATGAAGGGCCTTGAATAGGCCTATGAACGTTTTGCATTTTTTTTTTAATGAATGGAATAATTACTAGGCAAGTAATCATTACAGCAACATTTAGTAGACATTATGGTTGCTTAAAAGTATAGGGCAGTCAAATGGATTGCATATATCCTGAAAATGCGGGGTTTTTTTTCGTTCTGACTCAGAGGCAATCAGGCAACGGCCAAACTGCGGTATCGTCGTGTAATGAAGCTTTTACTTTCTTAGCCTAGCGCTCTCGCAACATCCAAAGAGATAAGACGAAAATGAGTTTAAAAATTGAAAATGGAAAAAATATAATTTTGTAGACTTTTATTTTTGTTGTCAATTCCTAATACATGTAACTATGTCATACTGTATTTGAGTTTTATCCATGTAGCTTTTTATCACAATAAAGATAAATATAACCCAGACAGTGTATTATTGTCCTTTCTGCCTCCAGTTAGGCGCCGCCAGCATTTCAGCCAGATCCTATGTAAACATTGAAAGGGGTCTATTGGTCACAATTTGAAAATGTAAATCCCTTTTGTTAAGGAAAAATAGAAAGCTTTGTAACAAAATTCTATTTCATCTTATTGATTATTCCTCAAATACTCTGAATAATTATGTTTATAAATGAATAGGCCTATTATTTTTTGTTGGTAGCAAATACCTTTCTACATAATTTCATTGGAATTTATATTTATTGACATAGTGGGGGTGGGGCAGGTTTGATTACCTATTTATAAAATGGATTAGTCCATATTTTTATCTCCCAGAACCAGAGATTTGCTCATTGATAGACATGTTAATGGAGAAAAACATGTTCTGGCTTGTTATAGAATTTTGATTGGCACCAAAACGAAGCCATATTTTTGGATACATTTTTTGCGGCTGTCAGTTTTAACAGAAATTGTGGTCATTGGCATAGTAAATAGTATTGATGTTTGAGAGTTTGCCTGTCATTCGAAATTACTGACAGATCAAGACAAAAGGGGATCTTATGCTTCATATGCTTGTGTCAATTACAGTAATAACATAACACAACAAAATAAATGACGACTTAAACTAGTTACTGCACACATCTGTGCCTAGTTTTGATATTGGCCTGATCAATTGTTTACTTCATCAATTTTGTCTTTACTGTATGAGTTTTGAGGTTTTTCATGTATATTATTTTTTTAAAGGTTATTTTTGAGATGCAGATTTTTCTGAAAACAAAGAATGGTGTTTTGAATTTTATTTTTTGTTTTAAATCATATAAAAGCGCCCAGAAAGTTCTGTAGAAATGCAGTAAGAAGCAATAAGCATCCACGGATGGCCTGACATGATATGCCACTAAATGTGTTGTTTTGACCAACTTATGAATAATATTGGAAATGAAAACATTTCTTCTCCTTAATTTGACCTTTTCTAGCTTTAGTAATTACTGTATGTACTTGTCCATTATGAGGACCGTAGAATCATCTGAACCAATTATATAAAACAACATTATAGAATTTTTTAACCAGGCATAAATCTTGTGTCTGTATCAGAATCCTTACGGGTATTACAGTTATGACTTGCTCATATAAGACGCCTTTCCTATCAAATTAAGCCGCTCCCAAAATCAACCTACATTACTACTGTGCCTCATGAAACATTCATCAGCTACATTTTTTTTCCCTCATTCATTGCAAATTTTCATTGTAATTATTCCCATTGTTTAAATTCTAATTACTTACTGTATTTTACATTTCCAAATATAATTTAGAGATGGAACTAATTTGCATATTGTTATCGTGCATTAGCAATGAGTTCTCTAGGAAGCCATAAGGGAATGACATCACCTCATCTGACACATCTCGCAGACTTGCCAAGCGAATCACCAGCTTGTGCAGGTCTGTGATGAAAATAATGTAGTCTTGCATTGGTTAATAGTTAATTTATCATTCCATTGTTATTCTGGTTACTTTTATAATTACATGTCAAAAGTGCACATGTGACAACTGTAAATGTAGACTTGTTGAACTGATAATTATTTATTAATCATTATTTACAGAGGGTGATATCTATCCATCCAGCAAAATTAATAATTTTTCAACCACCAAAGTTTATGTATACCAAAAAAAAAATGCATTAATATTCATAGGCAAGGGATTCACAAATGGTACATTTATTTTATCCTATCACTTTTCAAAAAAAGTATATTCATAACAATTAATTTTCAGATCAGAACTAAGGCTAAGAATCCTGGCTAAGATGAAGTATGGAACAAAATGGCGGCTACTATTTTATACCGCAACTCTGTGGATACATATGTTATATACATATGTTATATGAATTGCTTTGTAATCTTGACTGGATACCATAATAAAAATACAAAGCTTTGTTCTCATATGAACTTTAAGCAGCAGTATCGAACAAAGCATTAGAGAATATATTAAACACACAGATTTAAAAATCCATATGGGTATTATTATTATTATTTTACTTGCAATTAATTAGGATGCATGCAAAGTTATGAGATACAGTTAGTTGGATGATACAACACATAGTCACTCGTAATTTGTATTCATAACACAGTATGCAACGATGGAGTTTACCTGTAATCATGTTCTCAAATATCTCATGTATAAAGTCTTCCACCGTTATTTGCTTCTTAAATATAGATTAGCATCCATAATAACCTTGTTAATGTCATTGGTAAAAGCTGTTTGCTTTCATCTGTAAATTGCACGATAGAACCATGAAATGAGGCAAATATTTTATTTGAAGCCACGGTAACGCTCATTTACTTTGTTATAAGATACAGCCATATGTTAATACAGTTTGCCATGAAGCACTCTATTACAGTAGTATTATTAGTAAGTAACCAAACCCTATTATAAAATATCACAAAATTAATGCCTGCTTTAATTTTGTGATATTTTATGATAGGAGTTGGTTACTTACTACAACCTTTTAATTTATAAATTTATTTCAGTAATTCAGATTATATATAATATAATATATTAAAAATATTTTACATCTGCTTTAGCTCCACAAATTGTGCAACAAACTATCCTGGATACAAAGAAATGGACACAACAGGCACAAGCAGCCATTCAACAAGAAACCCAAGTTACTGCACAATACCTGGCCAACCCAGTGGTAGAAGACACAGCTTCCCAACCAAATCCAGGCAAAAGGCTTAAGCGAGTGGCCTGCACATGTCCTAACTGCAAAGATGGCGATTCCAGGTATGGCTTTCAAGAACCAGTTTTCTTTAATCATTTTAATTTGTTTTGCGTTTTAAAAATGTAACTTGTTTTGACAATGATGAAGTATCAACGGTAATAATAGTTTTATAATTGTTTTATCTTATCAGGAACTCTGATGGTAAAAAGAAACAGCATATTTGTCACATGAGTGGTTGTGCAAAAGTTTATGGCAAGACCAGCCATTTGAGGGCACACTTGCGCTGGCATACGGGAGAGCGGCCATTTGTGTGTAAGTGGTTATTCTGCGGCAAGAGGTTCACAAGGTCAGATGAACTGCAACGACACATCAGGACACACACTGGTTAGTAATGGGTCAGGGGTGACAATACTGGTAATAATAAATAATAAAAATAATATTAATAATAATAATAATAAATTATAATAATAATAATAATAATGATAATAATAATATGATATAAAATAATAATAATATAATAATAAAGTAGTAATAATAAGAGTTTTACAGTCAGATTAACTGCACATCAGGACACACACTGGTTAGTAATGGGCCATGGGTGACAATAATAATAATAATAATAATTAATAATATAATATAATGTAATAATAATAATAATAATAATATATAATAATAATTTAATAACAATAACAATTTAACAATATTAAGTGTTGAAACAGGTTTTAACCACTGTGTATAAATAAAAATTTTCAAAGTTTGGCAAAACCAGATGTTAGTAGCCCTAAATATATTAATTAATTTTAACCTTTGAAATAATAATTCTGATTTGCTTCAGGTGAGAAGAAATTTTCGTGCGATTTGTGTTCAAAACGTTTTATGCGAAGCGACCACCTATCAAAACATCAGAAAACCCATCAGAAACCAAAGACTGTAGTACGAGCAAACAACGAGGAGAATGACCCTGAACAAAGCATTATCATGGCGGTCGAGGAAAGCACTATAGGCTCAACTCCAACAGTGGTGGTGACAATGGGGAAACCAGGGGACACCATATGAATTTGAATTCGAGAATGCAATGAAATCCATTGAATGCTGCCCTCAACTTTTAGATCAAACTGTCACAACTTTCAGTTGCTTCTCTTCCACTTTAATATGCAAATTTGAAGAACTATTATGTTTGATACGTTGACAGCATATGAGCTTCTGTTTTTTTCACAATTTTGAGATATATAAATACTGCATTTCTACAGTATGACTGTATTTTTGTGTGTTAAGTATGTACCCTGATTTATTATACAGAAACGTATATTAAATGTACAATAATGCTTTTATGAAAAGCGTAAATGAAGATTATAATATTTATTAATGAATTTGAGATGTAGTTAAATACATTGCATACAAGCACATCAACAAGTAAGATATGATTTCTATGTATGTGTACAACTTGCATGCACAGGCTAGTAAATAATGTAACCTAGTGGATTATTTCCTGTTCTGTTTTTAAGCAGGTTGTTTTCAATTGTACCATGTTTATTTGGCTACATCTTGAATATAGATTACTTGTGTTGATGCTTTCTTAATCTCCAGGCCTAAGCAGAGAATTATGTGAGATTACTCTATTGATTCAGTTTATGATATAGCAAGTCAAATAAGGATACCTGCAAACATGTGTGAGTGACAGGTATATTAGTGTTTTTAATTTTTTATTCACTTTATCAAAACATTAAACAAATTCAAAATCAATTCAAATTGAATACTATTTTAGTAAATGATAGTTATGAGTAAAAATGGTCTTGAATATAAAAAACAATACTTTCAAAATAATCATAGTATGTAATATGCTAATTATAAATCAGGTAATGCTACGGATAATGAATAAATAGATTAATTGATATTGGTTGGTAATGGATATTTATCGTTACTGATTTGTGATAAATCGTTTTCAGTCTTAGAGAACTAACAACTACAAAGGAAACTGAAAACATTCAAGTGTGTGTTCACGATTTGCCTACTGATATTGATGTATCATGTTCCTTAATGCTAAAATTTTAGTTATAAATTGTAAATTTTATTGCATGTTTCTGAAATGCTGTTTCCTAAAGCAATCTATGAATGCAATGCACATCAAAACATAAAAAAAAACCTGTACAAATTGTAGAAAGATAAAAAGTATATATGTACATAGTGTATATATAATAGATAGTAAAATTCAATTAGATTTTTCAATATATTCATATAATGAAATGATGTATATTGACTTGAAAGTTAATTTTTGAAAGGGGTTTCCAAGTTGTGAGTGTGTTGAGCAATGGAACAATACCTTTGCAGGTAATTTCCCTAAATGTCCATCATAGTTTTTAATGCCAATCTGTTTTTTCATCCCTTTTAATCATAATCATGTAAATTCAACCATTGGAATGTTTTTGCTATTTCTTTGTTGCCATATAAACATGAATTTTCTCAAAATGTTGTGATATCTTCCTAATATCGTGAACTTTAAAACTTTTAAAAAGTTGAAATATTCTTTGATTACAGCTCCACCTCATTATGTCCGACTGCTTATTCTGCACAACTCATGAGGGTGCAGTACTGCTAGAAATAGGAAAATTCTGTTTTGTTATCTGAAGAATACTATGGTGTCTTGATAAAGCCTACCTGACTTGCATTAATTAATGTATGTATTAACTAGTACATTAATGATTAGTAAAACGCAGCACTGAAAAGTGATAAGAGAACTGTGCAATAAAGCAAAATCTGGTTGCTTTGCTATCCCCATATATTTGTATATATTCACAATATCACAGTATATTTATATGCAGATATAGTTTGCCTATAGTATAATTATAATATGCTTATATGTTTGTGTATATAAGTTCTATCTGTAGCTACATGTTTTCCATTTGTACAACATTAAACCATTGTTTTTATATTTCTTGTATTTAATAAGTAGGCCTATATGCACCAAGCAAGCCATCAGTATGGAACAAATTTCAGTCCCTAACACTTGATGCTGACTATTTTCTTGTTTACAATCAGTAAACAAGACATTATGTTGGGATTTATGTAACTTCATGTACAGAAATTGATGACTTTTATCCCTTTAAAATAATGTACTGTACAGAAGTCAGTTGCTTCAGGATTTCTGCCCTTTAAGATAATGTACAGAAGCAGCTGTCAAGATTTCTGTGGAGATCCAACTGCCTTTTTTTTTTAGATAAACTTACTTGCAGATTAAGAGATTAGCCAGTAATCTTGTTCTTTGATGTTGGCCGTTAATTTGCCAATAAAAATTGGTTTTATTGGAAATATTATGCAGGGGAAATTGTGTTGCCATGGTGCATTTATCTCTTGTATGATAATCCTCTGGATTCCCATATTTTTCTTATGTTATTGGCACTTTATTGTTATACTGTTTGAGTGTATAGTAGTCTGCAGGACTCTATATAATAATAATTATTATTATATTATTTTATTAGGTTGCTATTGGGTTTCTATACATGATGGTAATATTTTATTTATGTCCATCTATTTTTGATTATGTACAAAAATATGTCAATACATTATGAATACTGTTTTGAGTTGGATGTCTAGTATTTTCCAAAGTTGTGTGTGTGTGATGTTTAGTTATAGTAGTATATATGAGCAAGAATAGAGTGACCATATAGATAATTCTTGGGGTTTTTTTTGTACCAAAGTAGGACCAGTCTAAATTCTGAATGATCTTGTCCTTTGTAAGCTTTTAAACTTTACTGGTTACAAAAGGTGTGCTATGTTCTCACATTCATGTGAAACTATGAAATATAATTTACAGTGATTTTTAAGTACTGTACTGTACTTCATGATAAAATAATTTTTTCTGCAATTTAATTATTATATTATAATTACATATAATAATGGTGGAATGAAGATTTCGGATATTTAAATATTACTCTGAATTAAATTTATATGGTAGGGCTTTTTCACATTATGCTATTAAATTTGTTCTTTCACTCCTAGCATTTAGATAAAAAATTTGTCAAATTTGATATTTAAAATGCTGAATTAATTATAGTTACATTTTTAGCTTTCAATTAAAAATCAGAATGATGATTTCCCTCGACAATTAAGATGTATAAATATTGCAGTTTCTGTATTACATATTACAGTATATAGTCTATTAAATTTGCCAGTAATCAATTGGCTTTCATAATACTGAAAGGGTCTGTAAATCTGAATGGTTTGATCTGTTTCATGGAAGTTAACGCACCGTATTTGAGCCTTTCAAATGAGCAATTTATTGAGTTTTTTTCTACATTTTATGACAGATGGTGTATCTTTGATTGTTCCGAATTAGAATCCTTTTAATCATTTGATGTTGGTACTATATTAGTTATTTTCTTACTTCACTTGTTTGGTATTATGATTTATATCCTTGTACATATGCTTGGAAAAGTGTACAGTATTATGTTATTGGCAACAATTAAACCTACACAAGGATGTAGCATACAAATGAAGAGGTTGTCTTTTAAAACTGAGTTCTGAATAAATATATTTGTTATCAGAATAATTCCACACTTAGATACTCTGTACATACAATACACATTATAACCACCACCATGGCAGAAGGAGTAGCACATTGAGGGTGCTTTTGCACTCCATAATGACTAACGATGGTAGTCAATCGTATCAAACACTTATTCAGCCACTTAACACTGTAAAAAAATAAATACAAATCGGTCATAAATGCAGAAAAATGGTGCAAATTAACGAAAGTTACAAAAACGCGACGAGGGAACTAAACGATTTACATATGCAATCGTATCAAACATTTATTCAGCCACTCAACACTGTAAAAAAATAAATACAAATCAGTCATAAATGCAGAAAAATGGTGCAAATTAACAAAGTTACAAAAACGCGACGAGGGAACTAAACAATTTACATATGCAATTGACTTTTGGGTAGTTGACAAATAAACATATATATATGCAAATTATGTATTTTTGATGCTGCAGTACAGTATATGAAAGCTGGTTGGAAGTTAAATGAATGTGCATAAGTGTTAGTTCACCATATAGTTTATACCTTGCACAAAACCTTTTTAAAACCACATCTCTGTCCATCTGGATAATAAAAATAAAATCACCATCAATAAAAAATAAAAATGACACTGATAATTAGTAACTCACTGCTACATTAAAACCTATTATGATAAATTACAAAATTATACAAACTGAGCAAAATATATAAATATATGTATATCTTCATTTAAAATGATTAGTAACCATTATGATATGTACAGTAACATCATATTTTATATATACAGATCATATATCATTTTGTTTCAAGACACATTTTTGGAAGAGTTTATCTTTAAGAGTCTTCCAGCACCTGTCCAGATTTAGACATTGAGTCCATTCTAGGTAAATGTAATTAGATTAGTGCACCAAAGCCTACGATAATTTACACAATAATCACAACAGCTTCACTAGACCACAGCTACTCAACAAGTCCAAAAAAAAACAAAAAAAACACCACTCCCACCTGGGGTCCCAAGCTGGAAGGAGTCATTTCCAGAAGACCTACTTAAATAGGCTTTATTAACACAGTGATACCCATTGCCAACAGAATTCCTTGAGGCAATAGTAATACAGTAGTGAACACATGGAAATAACATGAATTTGTGGGAGATTGTAACTTTTCAGGACTTTTATTTGCGTGCAGGAGGCCGTCCCAATTTTAGGGACACCTCTGCAACTCGTAGAGACATGGGATCCCAGCTCTATAATAGGCCTACCATATAGAGATCGGGGTGTAATCGTTTTTAAAACATTCTCCTAAATGATTTTTCTGGCTCTTCAAGAAACTTTTTGTCACTGCACCTCACCACTGACTGAATGATTGTACACAAAGATACCATTTCAACTGAATGAAATGAATTCAATATACACACATTTGTAATTGTACTTGCCATAAACAAAACCCAATACTGAATACGTATCCAGAAGCACATCATCCTAAAGCCATATCAACTTCGCCTCATTGCATATAACTTAACCCGATGGGAAGAACAATAAGTTCTAATTGCAAACATTTTTAGACATCCTTATGCTGAATGGTAGATTACTATAATTGTATTATACATAACTGTTTTTCAAAAACTAGATTTTATCAATCAACATTAAATTTAACAGTTTACTACAACATTATCCACAAATGAAGTTTATCTACCATAACTTATTGTCATATCCCTGAAAATGAATTGAATACCCTCATTGTGTCAATATACATGTTATCACAACCGACACTAGTATTAGTTGTTGCCAGATGGCGTATGCTTCTCTGGCCCAATTCAGGTTAATGCCAGTAAAATATTTGTTGAACTCTGTGTTTAGTCTTGGTAGCTTGGTTGCGGGTCTCGCAATGACGTCTCATCTTGATTTTGTTTATCATCTACTAGATTTGTCAAGTCTGTGTTGTCAGGGGCAACTGGGGTAATGTATTTGTAATTGACTGCCATAACAATGAAAATGAGTAAAACAACTCCAGTGAGTCCAGCAAATAAAAAGAACTCTAGGGCCTGTTGATAAATACAAACAAACAATATCATTTACATGAAATTTTGTGACTGCATAGCCTGGACAGATTGAAGTTAATACAAATGAATATCCTATTCCAATTTTAGCTGAGTGTTATTAGCACTACTATCTTACCTGACTACTAACAATCCTACTCTCAGCGACAATAACAACAATTAGGTTGCCAAAGGCAACTGTCATCAGCCAGGCAGCTTGGACACATGACTTCATACTGGATGGGGCCTAGAAGATATGAAAGACAATATAATATTAATTGGGTAGGTATGAACATAGAGCTATAATATAGCTCCATTGCATGAAGATAATATTGACTTAACTCAAGGCATCTTGGTGTGCATAGATGCACTGGCATGGTAGAAGCTTATATCCAACACCACCGCCAACGTCATATCCACACCACCGCCAACATCATATCCACCGCTAACGTCATATCCACCGCTGCCTCACCACAATCTTTGACATCATTTTCAATGTCTTCTTAATCACCATCTAAATTGTTACTTATTCATTGTCACTGTCTTTATTGTTTCTGCCACTGCTATCGCACCACTGCCACCACCATATCACTTCTATGATTACATGTTCCCTTGCCACAATCAGAACCAACATGTTAGTCATAATAAGGAGACTTTATGGCATTGATGGATGAATAGATAAATGGATGGAAAGATAAATGGATGAATAGATAAATGGATGGACAGATGTATGCATCAGTGAGTGTTTGTATAGGTGCTAATTATTTTGGTGAAGGTTTTATTAATTCAGAAGTGAGCATTGCTGTTAGTGTATCTTAATGTAATTTATCTTTTTATTTATTTATTACAGTTTAAAAATAGACTCACATCAATCTCAGAGGGCAAACCTTGAGCTTACAATCAAATATGGTTAAATAGATAAATCAAATATATAAATACTTAAAATAAGAAACACAAACTTTTTAAAATCAAATACTCTATCTTGTAAATTACATTAGCAAATTTTACCTGAGAATATGAGAATTCTAAACCAGTGATAGAAAACAAGATCTCGCCAAATGTGATAACAAAATACTGAGGAATTTGCCAGAAGATGGACACTGAGTTGGGGTATATGTCTGTATGGACTACCATAATTGGCTGAGGAAAAACAACAAATTAAAAACAAGTTAGTTTCTTACAATACATTAACATAATATTTTACCCAGGATCAAAGAAAAGTGCACCTCGAGCAAGTTAAGTGCAGACTTACCCATATCCTTTCGGTTAAAGTTAATCATTATATGATTTGTTACCCTATTATCAATCATGATGCTCTATAATATACATATGCAGTAAAGCTTAACCACCATACCACTACTCCACCTACTATTAACTACATCTCCAAGCATGTTTCAAATCTGTACAAAAAAACAGGTTTTAACTTAGGATGATGTTTTAAATTTAAGTCATGTTTGTCAATTTTAAAGTAGCCAGTAATTGTATGATTGTAATTAATTTAGTTATTATATATTTAGTTCATTGACAAGGATTCCTGCTTTCCTGCTTCCTTGTAGGATGTATTTTTCTTTGTTTGCAAATTGTTTGCCTCCAAGGTAAATAAACGTTTCTGCATGGTTTTATAAGGATGCAGTAAAACTGTATTATTAAGAAAAGCAAAATTCAAATAACATACCTCGCATGCATTTAGTGAACTTGTGACATTGCACTGAATAAGGATCGTATAAATCGCTCCACTCTCTGCGATGAAAGGTGTACTAATCTTCTCATGAGTTGAATTAAAAGTTGGAATCTGCACTGTATACCTACATAAATATACATAATTATTATTGGTGAGTGGTTGAGTTGGCTTTGTAAGTGGTTGAGTTGGTTTTGTGAGTGATCAAGTTGGTTTTGTGAGTGGTAAAATAAGGTTTTGTCACAAGACAAAAATCCTGTACAGTAGAACCTCGATTTTACATATGGTACGGGACCGGAGGGCGTACGTATATCGGGGGATTCGTAAAATAAAGGTTGGGTTAAATTTGTGGTAACCTTTGACCTAATACGTACGTAACGCTCAATATACATATGTATGAACGAACGATGTTACCTATAGCTAGGCTAGACCAAGCCTCTAGGCCTACGAATAAAACCATGTGTTTAGTGTTTTTATTCATCACTTTACGATGTCATAATAAAGTGTTCAAATAAAACCGTGTGTCTAGTGTATTAATGAAATTATGTGAATTATTTTATACTTTACTTAGATTAAACAGCCTAACTTTAACAGACTTTATAATCTACTTACGTATCTGGAGTGATTTCCTTAAATGCTGATGCACTGAAGAATTCAAAAGGAATAGTATACATCTCCTGATCACTTTTTAAAATGACTGACATATTGGACAAAATATCAGGTTCTACCACGTATACCACACTGCAAGGGAAATCATAAGGAATATAGTAAAAGTAAAAATCAACGACTATCCCCATTATCTAGCATCACCAGTCAAGATATAAATTAATAAAGGCAAAGTCTCAAATCACCCAATATAACTTTCACTACACCACCCTCTATAATCCAAATAAAGGACTCACCTGACTAACGTATTGCCTTTGTGTGGCTTTTTTATCACCCCTTTGAATTGCCTAGTTTCATATGTTAATTGACCTCCGTCGTTGAATAGTCCTACAACTGCTATGTCAGCCTCCTTGCTTGTTAATTCAGGTATGAAAACTGATGGGTCATATACTGAACGGTCATATAATGAACAATTTTGTGGTAGAAATGTTATTGTGTAGTTTCCGAGTGGTAGAACTGTCATCTCAGTTGACTAGTAAGCAAAGAATGCAAACCAATACATATTAACATTTGCAATAGAAAATCCAAAATAAAAAGCAAGATGATGAGGATTATTATTATAATTAATTTTTAAGCACACAAAAATTTGAAAATCAGAGTCGACTGTCTGCTGTTGGCAATACATTTTTTTATGCTAGAGTTAGGTGCATGCATTTTGGCTGATAAAATTCCAACTATAGAGTAAAAATGTAGTTAACATACCAATGACAAAATGTTAAACTTTAATTTAAAATCTTAACACTATAAATATTTATATAGGTATAACAAAAAAAATGGCTTAATATGTTTCAAAAAAATTGAACAAACTGCTGTGATGTAACTGCATCAAGGTAATGAGAAAGAAGAAAAAATGTTATTCAGTAGTATTAAAAACTTACACTAGCAAAGTCAAGATGTCCGAAGGTTTTGTTCGTTTCGCCCTTGAGTTGAGCATCGATGTCGCAGGGGGCAGCATTTATCAACTTCAGCATGCCCTCATTTGTACCAGGAAAAGCAAGCTCAGTATTCTACAGAAGACCAACAGTACCATAAAATATGTATTGATTAAACATATTTTGGTTAGTGTAAATAGCTACACATTTGAAAAACCCCACAGAAGTTAAAAAGACATATTTCCAGGATTGTTAATAAAAAATAAAAACTTAAAACATTTCTAACTAGAGAACTAATTGAACACACAAAACAACAGACTGCACTGCCCAACTAAAAGAAAACTATAATTTACATTAAATATCAATACAAGCTTTAAAAGATGTTATGAAAAATTGAACCCAGTTTTCTGGTATTTGAAGCTTTGTACTTATTTTTCTTAATTTCATATTCTACATGCAATGTAACATCAATTTTAGTGGTGGATCCACTAGGATTGTGGGGGGTGGGGGAGGGGCAGCTAGCATGTGATGTCTTCTATTCTACTAACTTCATTATCCAAAATCAGGGGTGGTTTCAGGATTTTAATACAAGGGGATGGGTGGGCATTTACTATCTATTTCTGTAATTAAATTAGCAACTCTTACTGTCCAAAATGGAAGGCAGAGGTATGTTCTGCTGGCCAGAGTAATGGGATATCCTTATCCTTTGTTAATTATTCATCTGAGATTGCTTTGCATGACAAATCATACTCACATCAATTCTTATCTGAAGAAAGCCAGCAACAACAAATGCTAATCCAGCAAAGAGGATACCTGCACCCATCCTCTGTAGAGGGCGACATGGAATTCGCAAAAAGCGAATCACAGGATACACAACCACTTCAAAAAATGGAATCATTATAATAATAAGGATTGGGTTGAAAGCCTAAAATAGAAGAAAACAGACAAAAATAATTAATCTCCAAGTCTATATGAAATAATTGAGCAGCATAAAATAAGTCAATGAAACAGAAAAGTTCATCTTTTTTAAATGCATTACTCACCATCATTTGATCTGGTTTGACCCTATAGTGACCCTGGAAATGAAAATAAAAGTGCAAATAACTAAATACAAATTTCATGTGAACTGAGTCTCATGTAAACTAATCAAAATACATATTCAATAGAGAACAAAAATAATAACATATTTTTTAATATAATATAATAAGTTATTACATCTTTTTCAAAGCAGAGGTACACGTTAGACAAAATAGTGCGTCCACAATCACAAAAACATAAATAATAATATACTAAGTTGATTTATATATAATTACAAACAAAATACTTCATACATAGATTTTAAAATTTTTCTCATAGGTATATAATTTAGAATTGAAATATAATTTGTATAATTTATTAGATGAATATTCCCATATTGTTCCTACCAGTTGACCATCCATATGTTCAGCCTGTAGAGTCCAGCGAGAGCCTTGCTGGTCAAACAAGGCCCAAAAGATTGGCAGCGGTAAGTACATAACTAAAACATGGCACAAATTCTTCACATCCTCAAGAAGCTTGGCCTAGACATGAAAATGTGATTAAATTATAATTTATAATTAGTTGGTAAAATATTTAAAAAGTTGGAGTGGAAAAAGGGTGGAGACCCAAACTGTCTTCAATGCTTGTTGGTAGTTTGAAGTAATGAAGCAGTGTGAAGTGAAACTATAAACATGTTAAAAGAGTACTACCATCACTATCTTTGTTTTTTCATTATGTATACTTACATCATATTTATCATCGGCCCAGTCAACCCAATGCTCCTTTGTGATATCGGTCTTGCGTTTCTTGAACCGGTTTTTTAATGCATACTGGAAAACAAAAAGTTGAATAACTAAACGTATTATGTATTTCATTTATAAGAATAGATTTGTGAATTGGTGATAAGGTCTTAATAACTTCTCACAACTAAAACTGTACTCCACAAGCCTGTTAGGGCACCTAGAAAAAATTATTAGATTATCACTCAAAAATTCCCGTGTGCATGAACAGAGCGAACATGACATCGTTTTTCGAAGTGGATGCATTTAAACACCTGCCCCGTAATTCAATGGCCTCTCCAAAACTAGGCCTAGGCCTATATTGCAGTGAAAAAATCAGACAAAACTTGATCATCAATGAAAGGGAAGGGAACGCCCTAATTATAGTTACATAGTAGCATAGGCGCCTAGGCTTTGGTCTTACCTCGAGCTAGGCCAGCCTTTGCCTAAACTTTCTTTCTTGGTGTCCTAGCTATTGCCCAACAACAACCAATCCAACCAACTACAACCATCACAAGGAAGACCACCCACTTGTAATAAGTTAATTTTAGCAGCGAGAGTCTCTGTCGAACATGTGAGTCTTCATGCTGTGAATCAATGATCCGATCAGCCGACTGGGCTGGACTCTTTGGGAACGGACTGCGGTGCTGCCTATTTTTAGCCGCAGCTGTGGAACATGCGAGTCTACACGTTGTGAATTAATGATCCGATCAGCCAAGGATCAGCCCACTGGGTGGGTCTCTTTAGGGACGGACCGTGGTGTTGTCTATTTTTAACCGCAGTTAGCGAGCTGTTTATTTTTAGCAACAGTGAACAAGTTTAAAGAATGGGTTTTGCCATTTCAACTTTACGGCGATCCAAATGTATTGGAACAGTTTGAAGTCTCTCGAATTCGGAGCTAATTCCTTTATATTTTGTGAGCATTTGTTTTTTGCTAATTTGTTTTTATGCAGTTAAAATAAATGATGCAACAAAAAAAATAAAAAAATAAATAAATTATTCCCGCATCAATATTTCCAAATTTTTTGACGCAGGCAGCAGTGATAATCTAATAAATTTTTCTATTTGTTCTTAAATAGACTTACAGTAGATAAAGTATTGAGGGTTCCAAATAATTAGCTTCTCTAGATACATTAACTCATTTACATAAAACTTCATAGTGCTACACAACATTGCATTCTGCAGTGGTAAGTGGCACTATATACAAATCGATTTACAACTCTATAACTACAATAACACAACAATGCAATCCACATTTCTATGATTTTTAATTAAACAGGTACTCACTCCAATGGCACAAGAAACCTCTCCTATAATGTTACCGGTGGGTGGAAATCGTTTATATTTCTTACGACCAAGAACAAAAATAACTGTAAGAAAAGACCACAAAACATATAAATTGAAATATAAATGGTGAAGAGATGCTCGCCAAATAAATGACTAAATCATGATCATATATTTACAGGTAATATATATATATCAAAAATATAAAATACTTACTAAGTGAGATAAACATTAAAACTGCTGGAACACCAAATGCTAAGAAATAACAGTCATTTCCAAAACACTGGACATCGTTCCTTAATATTGGTGTGAGAAAAGTTGATAAAACACTACCAGCATTTATTGTAAAGTAAAATACAGCAAAGAATTTCTGCAACATTTCAATCTTAGTGTTTTGGAAAGAAAAAAAAACCAAATATGTTAACATTATACTTGTTCTAATAAAATAGTTGTTAAATAGTAAAAACAATTAATGATTTGAAGGTATTAACACAACATTCTTATTCATCAAAATGAAACGTAAATGTGCATAGCGACATCTAGAATAAAAATATATTTGAAAACTAAATCTTGTGATAAAGATTCCCTATTAAATACTGGATCATTGTCAGTATTTTCTCGCATGCACTTGGATTAATGCTAAGAGTCCCATATGGAATTTATTTTCTTATTTGGAGAACACTGAAGAATGTTTGCTGTTTCTTACATCACCGCCAACAAACTGATCTCCTCCAAAGGCTGACACACATGGCTTGATCCCACCAGTTCCAAGAGCAATAAGCAGAAGGGCTATCACAGGACCAATTCTATAGCATGGAATTATTATAAGCAATTAATTCAATTCAAAAAGCTATCAATCTCCTATTCACCAGCATCAACGATTTATTTACACACAATGGCAATAGCCAAAAAATTTAAGACAATACCAATTAAACAAGTAGATGAAATGAGCATAATTCGTCACAAGGAGAGCAGTATGGATGGAGGCATTGTTTGTAGAAGAGTAATGAGAGTACATTGCTAGAATTGTTGGCTAAGAGACACACAAACACTTACAACTCTGGATCGCCTGTCGTCTGTGGTGGCAGAGCTGTCAGAGACATCAAAGCACTGCCACACATATAGATGAAAGAGATGTACAGGATGGTCCTACAAAAAGAACACATTATTAAGTTATAAATCACAATTTGGATAGTAAATACTAGCTTCCACATGGTAAATCATAGCTTATGCATGGTAAACTGTACTTTATACATGGTAAACAGTCAGTAGTATATCTTGGGGTATTAACACGGGGGCTTGATGAGGTGGGAAAATGAGGAAGTGCTGGCTGGGTTAAGACGTGATATGTGAGGTGATTCTTAAATAATATTTGACTCAGAAACTGTTTAGTTGGGTGTCTAGGGGGTGGCAGTAATGTGTGATTGTGTGGGATATATACACATGTTTTTACCTGTATTTTCCAAGGAATCCATCTGCTATCATTGCCCCAAACAGTGGTGTAAAATAACACAGCATTGTGAAGGTGTGGAACACGGCAGTGGCATTATTATCACTTAGTAATAAGATGTTGGTCAGGTAAATAATAAGGATTGCTGAGGAGACACAGAAAAATAAAAGCATCATGTTATAAGTAATTAGTATTCATCATTGTGCTGGAGGATACATAGTACACATCTTAAACATCATCCGGTTATTGCTGTTATCAATCATGGAAAAGGTGAACTACAGTTCTCCACTATGTTTTCTCATAAAAAGATGTTGAAGTCTTTTTTAATAACATAATTATACAGGGTGACCCTTCCAGCATATCTTAGAAAATCAGCTGACATTCAGGGGCCCTTTTAAATAACTGAAATAATGCGATGCTTTGTAAACTAAGTCATATAATACGAGGATATTAGGGAGTGGAGATACGTTTTAGTTGAGAAAAAAAATCTTGTGCTGGCAGAGGAATTGAACCAAGGACCCTGGGATTGAAAGGCAAGCATCTTAACCACCAGACTACATCTCCACTACAAGTGTAATTTGCATGATATGTAAGTTTACATGTGTTAATTTATAGAATGTATGATAGTAACATTTTGTTTATATACTTTAAATCTCATTGGTAACAGTTCAGCAAGAAAGACAATTTGGGAGAAACCACTTCTGGGTGATCTAGTTTAACAAGCTTTCTTAATGCCAACTAATTGTTATTTTGCTGCATGTGGTGATATACATCTTACTCTCATTCCAAACTTCGTTTCACAAATTTGTTGACCTCAACCTTTTTCAGTATTTCACCCTACAGGAGCTAAGATGCTGTTGTCCTTTAAGGTGAAATGTAATCATGTTAATATACAATGACTGGGTTTCTTATGATTCATTACAGCCTCCTCGGTACAGGAGGTTTTGTATGATAGATTGCTGCTATACAAACTACTTACTTCGCATGCCATAGTAAGAGAAGCGTTCACAAAACTCATTGCCAACAATGTAATAAACACTAGTGGGGAAATCATCATCACAGCAAAAGAATTTCTGTAAAATAAAGAATGAATACATTAAGCTGAAATACATCTATAAATGTAACAATGGTTAACGACCAAAAAAACCATATTCTAATATGGCATCTAACTGTTATAAGTGTGGATACTTGATTCACAAAGAATTATGCCTGGAAATACAAGCCTCTATGTATTTTCAGTGAAACACGATATATTATCAGTATCATCAAAAGTCTTACCGGCAATCTTCCCCATGCCTTGCCGCTAATTTTCTGTGGTTTCCCATCATTCTCAAGCAGCGAGGAATCTAAAAAAATAAATATCAATAACAAATTGTCTCCTAATATTTCAAAATCTAGCCATACCTACAGCAAGATTAATATTTAATTTTTCATTATTTTGTATTTTTATCTACAACTATTGGAATCAAATATAGTACTACTAGTGAATTATTTATGTTCTATCAATTTTATTGAATATTTTTTTCATTCAGTTTTACTGTATTTCATGTTAGGTGTACAGTTTCTGCTCTTAACATTTTCCTGTTAGTGTCATTCTTAGGTAGTTACGCTCAAAGCAAGCAGGTGAAATCTATTTGAGATAACGGTTCAACGTCTCCCGGGATACATTAGATTCGACTCGCATCTTCTATCACCAAACTCCTTAGAGCCAAAACAAAGGCTGGGATGCAACCATAAGTTGTGCTGTTTGCGCCGCGATAATTAATACAAGATTAAAATGAAATTGATGATAAAGTTAATGGGATGTGACAATCATGGTTAGTGCACACAATATTTTAACATGATAGATGAATTTAAATTTATATTTCTATTACAAATGATGAGTTCACAAAATGTAAAATGAATAAAAGCAAAACATGAAATGGATTTTTAAAAAGAAAATTTAAAAAGAAAGTAAATACAGATAAAAACATAGACCGATACAGTATGTACATTTCTAAAAGTGATAATAATAACAATAGAGTTTTCATAATAAATATTACATAAAATTGATGATAAAGAGCTGTGTACCATAATTTATAGTAATAATTAATCATATTTTGTGTTTATGATCTGAAAGTGATTATTATTCCCACCTGGCCTATATTAGTAAAGTCAATTTTATGATATAAATAGACTGTACGTAGGAGCACACTATTGACAAAAAACCTAATCATGCAAGAAGTTTATTAATATTTATGCTTAATTTTAGGTTTTTCAAATATTTTATAGTTTATGGCTTATTTTGTTTGTTAATACATTATATAAGATATTAAATGTGAATAAAGCATAACATTTGTCATTACAGCCTATGGAAAATTTGTTTCTATCTGACCATGTTTGGTACTCACA